TTCCATGGTTTCAATCGATTTTTCCATGCACAATAACATGCACCTGGTGAACATGTAGAATATAGGTTGAAGCACAACCGCATTGGGTCTAAATAGTGGCATTGGATGCTATCATAGTGTTGGTTGGTTTAGGGTTTATTTAGGGTTGGTTTAGGGTTGGTTTAAGGTTTATTTAGTGTTGATTTAGGGTTTTGCCAGAATTATTTAGGGATGGTTTAGGGTTTATTTAGGGTTGGTTTAGGGTTGATTTTGGGTTATTAAGGTTTGTTTTAGGGTTTATTTAGGGTTGTTTTAGGTTTGATTTAAGGTTTATTTAGTGTTGATTTAGTGTTTTCCCAGAATTGTGTAGCGATGGTTTAGGGTTTATTTAGGGTTGGTTTAGTGTTGATTTGGGGTTATTTAGGATTGGCTTAGATTTATTTAGGGTTGGTTTAGGGTTTATTTAGGGTTGGTTTATGGTTGGTTTAGGGTCGTTTAGGTTTGGTTTAGGGTTGGTTTAGGGTTTATTTGGGGTTGGTTTTGGGGTTGGTTTAAGGTTTATTTAGTGTTGGTTTAGGGTTTATTTGGGGTTGGTTTAAGGGTTGGTTTAGGGTTTATTTAGAGTTGGCTTAGGGTTTATTTAAAGTTGGTTTAAGGGTTGGTTATGTCGGGTTGGTTTAGGGTTTATTTAGGGTTGGTTTAGGGTTGGTTTAGGGTTTATTTAGGGTTATTTAGGGCTATTTAGGGTTGGTTTAGGGTCTATTTAAAGTTTGTTGAGGGTTGAAGTAAGGTACATGTAGGGATACAAGGTGTGTATAGATAGACAGACAGACAGACAGACAGCCAGCCAGCCAGCCAGCCAGCCAGATTAGATAGATTAGATAGGTTAGATAGGTTAGATAGATTAGATAGATTCGATAGATTCGATAGATTCGATAGATTCGATAGATTCGATAGATTCGATAGATTCGATAGATTGGATAGATTAGGTAAAGATTACATAGATTACATAGATTACATAGATTACATAGATTACGTAGATTACGTAGATTAGGTAGATTAGGTAGATTAGGTAGATTAGATAGATTAGATAGATTAGATCGATCAGATAGATAGATTAGATAGATTACATAGCTTACATAGCTTACATAGATTCGGTAGGTTAGGTAGTTTAGGTAGATTAGGTAGAATAGATAGATTAGATAGATTAGATAGGTTAGATAGAATAGATAGATTAGATAGATTACATAGATTAGGTAAATTAGCTAGATTGGCTAGATTAGATAGATTAGATAGATCAGATAGACTAGATAAATTGTATAGATTAGATAGACTAGATTAGATTACGTTAGATTAGGTTAGGTTAGATTAGATAGATAGATAGGTAAATAGGTAGAGCATGGTAAAGCGTGGTAAAGCCACAAAAGCCACAAAATCCACAAAAGCCACAAAGCCACAAAGCCAGGCTGGAAAACCCCCCCAAAAAAAAAACTCCAAAAAAATAGCCCTCCATGTTTTTATCTGTTCGCAGTGTTCCCGGTCCTGTATTTCAAACGGTATGTGCTCATTGTGTCTGAGCCAGCAATCTTGAATGGTTTCATATGTCCACGCTGCTCGTGGGCAAATGTCCATTGCCATGTCTAATTAACACAGTGTAAATTTCTTGTCATGTGGGCATTTGACTGACATCATGCCCATGTGCGAATGCCTCGAAATCAATCTACAAAAAATTGATAGACAAATTGTCCCATCCCCCGAATATTACTGCATATTACTCAAACGAAACCATGGTTTAGCATTGGAATTGGATCTATTCATAACTTGGGGTCACAAATATTGGCATATTAAATCTGATATATGCAAAATGGATGGGCACTTATTAAGACATCCTAAAAGTATTTGAAAATCACCAGCCTTTCTCTGGGTCCATGAAGGTGCAACCTTCTTGGCCCCCCCACACATCATCGGGCGGGCGCTGGGCTAGGAGTCGAATCAGCAGCACCTAATCGAGCTGCAGATTCAAAGAGGTAAATTAATATAAACAGTCATGGTATGAACCATCCAAAACCATCCAAGACCATCCGAAACCATCCAAGAACCAATAAAGATCAATACAGCACGGGAGATTGTCCTCTCATCCATTTCACGTTGCTACACGTTGTGCCAGCAGAATAAAAAGGAATAGGAGGCAGATATGAAAATTATGAAAGCATCAAAGCTTTCAAAATTGTGACTCAAATAAGTCCACTTGAGAATAGCCGAATAGCCGTTGGTCACAAAACATAAATCTACAAACCTCCAGATTGCCCCTGGCACATATTACAGTCTACATCCCCGCACCGAGCATATGCAGGAGAGGATGGCGGAGAGAAATCTGCGCTGAATCGTTCCTGGCCGTGGCCGACAGGGAAGGTTGCAAACCGATCGCCGGGGTGTAGGGCTGAATGACACAGTGTGACACCATAATAGAAGTGATGTGTATATATATATATATGTATTGTGTATCATATCATATCTAAACCCCTTCATATCTGGCAGGGTTCAGAAGGACCGACCAAAAGCTGTTGTTTTTCAATGTTTTTGAAGGTTTTTTAAATGAACTTTTTGCAACATCCTCAACCAGCTACACACTCAGTGGCTGCAGCCTGCTTCGTCTCGATTCACGTCTTTGTAGCCCGCCAGCTTCCAAATCTTGGCACCATGGCACCATCAAAGGATCGGGAGGTTTTCCACCAGGCTACATCTTCAGCTTCAGGACGGGTTTCCTTTTATTCCCCACACAGCGTGGCCACACTGAAGGGGGTTCTTACGGTAAGTGTTACGGCCGGGTGTTCAATCGAGGTGGTATCGGTAGCGTCCGGCATTTTCCCTGTAAATTTCCGCACAAAATGCCTCTTGTGACATGTCCATGTGCATTTCGACTGCGCAGGCTCACAAAATGGGTGTCGCGGGCTTGGCGTACGGCACTTTTCCTGTAAATTTCCGCGCAAAACGGCTCTTGTGACATGTCCGTGTGCATTTCGACCGCGCAAGCTCGCACAAAACCAGTGTTGCGGGATTGGCGTCCGGCACTTTTCCTGTAAATTTCCATGCAAAATGGCTCTTGTCCAATGTCCATGTGCATTTCGATTGCACCGGCTCGCACAAAGTCTGCTTCCCGGTCTTAGGATCGGTCTTCTTCCTCAACATCATCCTCCTCAACATCAGCATCTTCCTCCTCCTCCTCCTCCTCCTCATCATCATCGTCATCCTCATCATCATCACCATCATCATCATCATCATCATCATCAACATCAACATCATCATCATCATCATCATCATCATCATCAACATCAACATCATCATCACCATCATCACCATCGTCGTCATCATCATCCTGATCATCCTGATCATCCTGATCATCCTGATCATCCTGATCATCCTGATCATCATCATCATCATCACCATCACCATCATCACCATCAAAATTATCATCATCATCATCATCATCACCATCATCACCACCGCCATCATCATCATCATCAGCAGCAGCATCATCATCATCAGCAGCAGCAGCATCATCATCATCATCAGCAGCAGCAGCATAATCATAGCAATCATCATCATCATCATCAGCAGCAGCAGCATCATAATAATAATAGTAATAATAATAATAATATTTGTCTTATTATTATTATCCTTCTTCTTTTTCTTCTTCATCACCATCATCATCATCATCAACATCACCATCATCAACATTATCATCAACGTTATCATCATCAACATTGTAATCCATGATCCTTTACCTCCCCCCACACTGTTTGGGGTCTCTTGCCGGGATAATAGTCCTTTGTAGTCTTTTATAGTGTTTTATAGTCTTTCATAGTCTTTTATAGTCTTTTATAGTGTTTTATAGCGTTTCATTGACTCTGTCTTTCCAAACAGCTCTTCCAGGTAGCCAGAACTTAGCAATCAAAACTGTTGGTTTTTCTGCGAAAAACGTGCTGAAATCTCAGGACCTTTGGCCCTCCACAGGAGCACGGAAATTTTTCAAACTGGGCGCCCCCGACATGTAGCGAGGCGACCTTGGCTCAGCAAAAGCTCAAAGCAATCCCCTACTTCGATTGCTGAGTGGATCAGGATTGGGTTGATCCAAGAACCTTGATCGAATCCTGGGCCCGGGGATCAACAGATTGATCATCGTTTCTACTTTGATCGTGAAATTCGTGAAACAATGAAGCATCCAGCCGGCCAAGTGGCGAAGATGAAGGACAAGAACAGAGATCCCAGCACTGCCACAGGAGCAGAGACCTGCAGCTGAGGCCATTTTTCCACTCAGTCTATCAGTCTAAACCAGCTAAGTTACACAGTTACCCTCTACTTTGACCAGTTCCCTGTGGTAAATCACCATGTTGAGCTATTTTTGATAGGTAAATCATGGTAAATTACGGTGAATCATCCAACATGACTTCAGCAACGTACCTGGAGCTGCAAGTCCCCCATGCAGCAGGGGAAACTACATGGCACCGGAAGCGCCAGAAGTTGGAGATCACCTAAAGATACCAAAAAGCATTCAGAGCTCCACTGGGAAGTCTGGGGACTCTCGAAAAATGAGGATATTCTGAATCCGAATTAGGAGCCTGAAGCTCGCCTGATGTCAATAGACTCAATAGACTGCCGGCCGGTTTCACGAAACATAAAGAGCTTTTCATGCGCGCGGCCCGGTAGAAGCCACAGCCACATGTTGCTCCGAGAGTTGTTCCAAAGTTTCTTTTCTTTGCGGCTTGTTCGGGAAACCTTGGCACGCAGTTTTCTCTGGATGATTCTAGGTGCCATGGGTCACATTGATTCCATGAGCCAGAAACCTTGGCTTGCTCAATCAATGACTTGGCCGACTCAAAGTGTTTGACCCGAAATTGTCAAAGAATTGGATGGCTGGTTGCTGAAAATAAACAGCGATGTGTGGTCACCCTATGCCGAAGAGCATGAAATTCCACACAAACGACCTGCCTCAGTGAAGGACTTCGCATTTCCACAGACTACCTCAACTCCTAATGCATACAAAACCAAGCAACATGAGCCATTTGGTCGCAGAGATTGGCACCGGTTGGCACCGATCCTCCATCTGACTGGGTGAAACCAATCCGACCAAAAAAACGCCCTCAGTCTGCATATCTCATCACACCGGCATGTTTCCTGTTGCACAGGAGAGGCACAAACTCGATGTGTCAGCTTCAGGTTTGGGTGTTTCCCCGATGACATATTGCAACTTCCGGTACTTTGCGTTTGATGTTGTCCAGAGCCAAATAAATTCACTACAAACACAAAACAGGTTCAAATTCATGGATGATAATGGGGTTCGGGACAAAACATAACATGCCAGGCATTGCTAAATCCTGTCCATCTGGCTGAATCTGAATTATCATAATTCACCAACATTTCAGGTAATTGGGTGATTTGGGGATGAGTCTCCCTCTTAACACGTACGGATACCGTGTATATATAATTTATATAATACATATGTATATAATTCACAATACATAGATAATAGATATATAATACCGATGTAATGTAGGGCATAGTTATATTGTAGATTATAAATAGATATAATAATATCATATGTAATAGATAAATAGATACAATCTATATATATATGTATATATGCGTAGACAAAGATTTAGACTAGATATAGAAATAGCTATTAGATATTGATATGGACAAAAAGTAAAGATAGGATGTAGAAATAGAAATAGGTATTGGATATAGATATCAGATATCGGATGTACAGTAGATCTAGGATCTAGATACAGATCTAGACATATATATATATATATAGCTCGTTACAACTCATCCATCTCGCCACGGACCGCGCCTCTGCGGCACAAGCCGCCTCCAGGCAGTGAAACAGGAGAGCACCTGTCAGTTGGGAAGTGGTTGATAAGTAGTCCATGCAATAACAATATATATATATATAATATATATATATGTATATATATATATGTATATATGTATATATATATATATATTTATATATAATACTAATAATATGTCAGAATCATGCAGGGATGGGATTCCGTTGGGAAGTGGTTAGTTGATAAGTAGTCTATAAAATAACTTTTTCATAGTCATTAATAAGAAATATATCAAAACAGCCACTGTGGTTGATAACAAGAGTCGTCTCCTGGAGATGATCACCAAGAATTCTGGCTGGTGGAGACACCGGTGATTTTCACCTCAAAATAACTGGCAGTAATGGTGATGCCATCAGCTCATGCAGTCATGGTGATTTCAAACTATTAGGTGATGGTGAGCAATATCTCTGGTTTTCTGGATAAATTATGATAAGTCACGAGTCCTTCAATAAGGCCATCTGGGCTTGATTCCCTGTGTATTCAATAGCATCCGAATGGAGATTGTGGGCCGTTGTATCCTCCCTTCATCGTCCCATGATATCATCATGTTCCCCGTGTGAAAATCTCAATGTTTAATGGTAAAATCCAGACCCGGCTAGAGCTATTCAGTGTTTGGGGTACCTGGACACAGAAGATCTGATCCATCAGAACTTCATCGTGAGGTGGATGGGTATTGGGTCGGAGGATCACAGTTGACAAGCAATCCCATCCCCCCGTTTGCAAGACTGAGCGGGACCCAAAAATGAACTAAACTCGGGTTTCTCACACTGTTTATTCGGAATGGATTACAAGGTGGCATAATCAAACACTATCGTTTTGTCTTTCTTGCTGATCCTGGTGCTGACGGCATTAATGAGCAACGAGGATTAGGATTGAGATCCAAAACATTAGCTAAACAATTGTTTTATTGATTATTTTCTTTTATGATTTTTTTATGAATATTTATGATTTTTAGGATATGATTTGAAAAAAATGGTGAAAAATGGATATGATTTTTTATGATTTTTTTTTAATTTTTTATGATTTTTTTATATATTTTTTATGATTTTTTTATGATTTTGTTTATGATTTTTTTATGATTTTTTTTGTTTTTTCACTTGTTTTTATGTGTTTTTTATGATTTTTTTATGATTCTTTGAAAATGATTTTTTTTAATGAAATTTTATGATATTTTTATGAAAATTTATGATTTTTTATGAAAAATATGATTTTTTATGATTTTTTATGGTTTTTTTAAAAAAAAAATTATGGGCTTTTATATTTTGAAGAATCTTATGATTGTCTTATGTTTTTTTTCTAATTTTTATCTTATTTTTTTAATGTGCTTTAATATGTTTTGTTTTTTTTGGTGTTTTTATACGGATTTTGTGATTTTTTAATGATTTGTTATGATTGCTTTATGATTTTTATGAATTGTATGATTTTTGTTTTTTTGATTTTGTACGTTGTTCATGATTTGTTTTGTAATGTTTTTGAATGATTTTTTTCAATGTTGTTTTTTGTCTTTGTTAATGTTTTTTTAAATTGTTCATGTGTTTATTTTTATCTTTAACGTCGCCAGGATTTGGCCAATAATGGTTCTAGGCCCAAAGGCCTGTGGTAAGAAATTTTGTTTGATGTCAAATCCATAGAAACCAAACGCCATCATGTTCCTAAAAAAACAGTTCAGAGTTTTGTTCATGGGTCCAGCTTTGTGCTGGGCAAGGTGCATCATCAGTTCAAAATTTGTGACCTATCCTAAGGCTAGTTTCTTTTCTCGGTATTCACTTCTTTAATGCCAGCTGCCCGCTAAGTCACAAAGGTCTCAAGCCTGAGGCCTAAAGCCTAGGGCCTCAAGCCTGGAACTTAAGGCCCCAGATCCGAGATTCTAGAGCCTCAAGCCTGGAACTTAAGGCCTCAGGTCCGAGATTCTAGAGCCTCAAGCCTGGAGCCTAAGGCCTCAGGTCGGAGATTCTAGAGCCTCGAGCCTGGAGCCTAAGGCCTCAGGTCGGAGATTCTAGAGCCTCAAGCCTGGAGCCTAAGGCGTCAGGTCCGAGATTCTCTAAGGCCTCAGGTCCGAGATTCTAGAGCCTCAAGCCTGGAACTTAAGGCCTCAGGTCCGAGATTCTAGAGCCTCGAGCCTGGAGCCTAAGGCCTCAGGTCGGAGATTCTAGAGCCTCGAGCCTGGAGCCTAAGGCCTCAGGTCGGAGATTCTAGAGCCTCAAGCCTGGAGCCTAAGGCGTCAGGTCCGAGATTCTCTAAGGCGTCAGGTCCGAGATTCTAAAGCCTCAAGCCTGGAACTTAAGGCCTCAGGTCCGAGATTCTAGAGCCTCGAGCCTGGAGCCTAAGGCCTCAGGTCGGAGATTCTAGAGCCTCGAGCCTGGAGCCTAAGGCCTCAGGTCGGAGATTCTAGAGCCTCAAGCCTGGAGCCTGGGACGTTGCTTTCCTGAACCAATCCATAAAAAAATTATAAAAAAACATAAAAAATCATTTTAAAAAATCATAAAAAAAACATTAAAAAAAATAAAAATCATTAAAAAATCATTTTAAAAAATCATAAAAAAATCATAAAAAAATCATAAAAATCACACAAATCATAAAATTGATCATAAAAAAAACATATGTATTTAGTTTTATGATTTTTTTATGATTGTTTATGTTTTTTTAATGATTTTTTTATGATTTTTTTATGATTTTTTTATGATTTTTTTATGAATTTTTATGACCCCTTAAGCGCCCATCTACAGGGTGTCACCCTGCCCCCGGAGCTCCTTAGAGTTTAGGGTTTAGGGTTTAGGGTTTTGGATCCTTGCTGCTGGCCTGAAATCTTGGAACCCTAAAGGTAGTGAAGGTAGTGAAGTGTTTCAATACTGACTTTCCCTGTTTGGCCTAAACATGTTTCCTTCCCAGGTTTTTCATCACACAGCATAGGTTTAGTCAGTTGCCTCCTTACAGCAAATAGTTGCTCAACAAATTTTGTCATAGCAAAAAAAAAAATCAAGTTTACTGCTGCTAACTAGCTGTTAGTTGCTAGCTGCCAGTTGTTGCTTGTTGCTAGCTAGCTGCTTGCTAGCTAAGCTACTCGCAGCTAGTCACTGGTTGTCGTTAGTTGCTAGTTGCTAGTTATTTGTTGCTAGCAACTGGATGCAAGTTACTTGCTGGCCACTAGCCCCGGAAAAAATTGTGACACTGTTCGTTGACCAACTAGCCCCAACATTGGCATCGCCCTGCCCCCCCCCCCACACACACTGGACTGGTTTTAAGAATTGGAGCTGGTTCCAAATTGGTCGCGTCGAATCGTGCGGATAGTTCGTTCTGCAGGGTTTTAACTTAAAAGATTTGGCAATTCCTACCTGGTAGACCTTGTCAAGGCTGTATCCAAGAACGCAAGGTTGAAGAGGTCGAAAAGGTCGAAGCGGTCGTGAAACCAGATTTCAAATTGCAGTGCAACAGCAAAAAATCGCTTGCTGAAAATGGATAACGGAATAGAAAACAAACAGCGCATGAACAGAACCGAAGTCAACAGTTTTAACCAGTTTTTACCAAGCAGGTACACAACTGAGCGTCCTCAGTTGCTTCCCCTTCAGTGACACAGCTTCGTTGGGCAAGGTAGTCACTGAAGGCCTTGCCCCCCTGCATGTGTAGTTAACCATTCCCTGTGCTAGAAGGGTTTACACACACACGCCCCACGACGGGGCAAAACTTGCTATGACAAGTGTGAGCGCATGTAATTTGTAGAATGGCGCTAGCTACAATCGAACGAAAACTGCTCCAAAACTGCTCTATACCATGATTGGGTGTGGTAGGCGCCAGAATTGGCTGCTGCAGTAACAGAAACCTTGTTGGATGAACCTGCCAACCCTTATACCTGGGTAACGCCATGACTCCGAAGGACGCGCGTAATGTCCGGCGAGAAGGGGCAACAAAGTTTCGTGCGTTTATTTCGACCTATATCCTAGCGCACTCAGTGTCAAGCACGCTTGTGACGCCACATGTCGCACGAAAGCATCTATTTATTAAATTGTTCGTCTATTTAAACGTGAAATCCTGGGTTTTTCGGCTTTGCCCAGTCGCCATCACCTGTAGATGATTTAACGGATCAAAAGAAATGTGACCGTCATATCCGGTTGTGGTATCACATGTATGGTCAGCGCATACGAAGTGTTCGTTTCAAAACATGTAAAACTAGACTGACATCCTGGGTTTTCGGCTGTGCCCAGTCGCCATTATACGAAGTTTTCGTTTCAAAACGTGTACAAATTAGTCTGACATCCTGGGTTGTCGGCTTTGCCCAGTCGCCATCACAGGAGATTTGCGCACTAAACCATGCACGTATAAACTGACATCCTGGGTTTTTCGGCTTTGCCCAGTGGCCATTAGATGACAATTACGCGTCAAACATGTAAAAGTGATAGACTGACATCCTGGGTTTATCGGCTTTGCCCAGTCGCCATTATACGAAGTGTTCGTTTCAAAACATGTATAAACCTAAGCTGACATCCTGGGTTTTCGGCTTTGCCCAGTCGCCATTATACGAAGTTTTCGTTTCAAAACGTGTACAAATTTGTTTTTTTGTTCGTAAGTCATCACTGACACCTCACTGCCTGCCATCATGCAGCAGTTGGTGCAGTTTGAGATATCTGCAAAATTTGCTGTTCAATTCGTTTTTCGCTCACCAGTGGTCAAAAAACCACCAATCCTAAAGCCAACGCCAAAATAAATTTAAATAAATAAATAAATGCAAAGTCAATGTTTGTTCAATGTTCTCCATGTGTGTGAAATAAAAAAACGTTGTTGTTTGTTTGCTGTTCTCCATGTGTTTGAAATAAAAAAACATGCAAAGTTATTGTTCGCTCAATGTTCTCCAGTCAGTTATTTAGAAAAGAAAAACAAAAAAATAAAAAATCAAACACAACATCATAAAAAAGAAAAAGACATAAAAATCATCACAATCATGAAAAAACAAAATAAATTAAATAAAAAAAACATAGAAATTGTCATATTTCATAAAACACAAAAACCATTTTTTCAAAATCATAAATACAATCATATATATTTCTCATAAAAAAACATGTTTTTTCATAAAATACAAAAAAAAATAAAAAAATAAAAATCATTAAAAAAATCATAAAAAAATCAAAAAAAATCATTAAAAAAAAAACATAGTGTTTCATAAAACACAAAAAACATTTTAAAAAATCATAAAAAAAAAAACATAAAACAAAAAAAAAAAAAAAAACATTTTTTCATAAAAAAAAAAAAAAACATAAATTTTCATTTAAAAAAAATCATTTAAAAAAAACGAAAAAATCATAAAAAAAAGAAAAAAAACATAAAAAATCATAAACTGTTTTCAGGCAAAAAAACAAATCATAAATTTCATCATAAAAAATTATATTTTTTCATTAAAAAAAAAAAACATAGTTTTTTATAAAAGAAATTAATTTTAAAAACCAATTGTTTAGCTTACTCCCGGATCTCAAGATTAGGAGGACTTTGATCATGAGGATGATGACAATGATGAAAATGATGACCATGACGGTGATGGTGATGGTGGTGATTGTGATCATCACGGCGATAATAGCACGGCGATAATGATGATCATCATCATGGTGATGGTTGTGATCATAGTCGTGGTGATCATGGTAATTATGCGTAATCATGATGGCGGCGATTATTGTGATGGTGGTGATGGCGGTGATGGTGGTGATGGTGGTGATGGTGGTGATGGTGGTGATGGTGGTGTGATGGCGGTAATAAGCGTGATTGTGGTGATCACGGAGGTGGTGGTGATCATTGTGATGATTGTGATGATTGTGATGATTGTGATGATTGTGATGATTGTGATGATCGTGATGATTGCGGTGGTAGTGATGATGACCGCCAGGCCAACAGGTCAACCAGAGTGGAGAGGGGCGGACACATGATGAAGCTTCTGGCTGAGGATGAGGTCACCCCAGGGCACCCAAATTACCATACACCAAAATGAACGGAGCAGATTTGGGAGCCCCGACCAGCAGCCCTGTTGAACTCTTCAGCTCTGGGACTCCTCTGGGAGCCCCGACCAGCAGCACGGCAAAGTAGATCAAACTCCAAAGTACGCAAGAATGCACCGCCTCCTTGTAGAAGGAGTCCTTGTTCCACATCCCACCCATGGATTCGAATTCTTGGGCTTGAACCCACGGTGTGTATCCTTTTCAATCAAGTCGCTTTTCCCTCAACCACGGGACTTCCCAGTTTGAGACAGTCCCATATCATAGCATTGGTGAGAAACCCGATTGTCTTCCAAGAAATTCCCTGAGATGGTTGATTTCTGAGTCAAATCACCCTTAACACAATAGATGAGTTTCACATATAAAAAATTGCCGAAATTTCAGGTGAAAGCAATACGTTTCTCGACCAAACCCATCATTTTTTCGTGGTCCTTCAGGGCTATCGGGTCGCTGCTCCAGTAGATGAATGTCGGATCTGGGGCCGCCTCATTGGAGCGGAGGTTTTACTGAAGGTTGGGATCATCAGCCCTGGATGGAGAAAAATATCACCAACCAGATACAAATATATATATATATATATTATGATATATATATATAATATATATATACAATATATATTCAGATATTGATATATATATATACAATGATTATAGATATAATCAGATATTGATATATATACAATTTTATATAATATATACACATACATATGATGATTAGACGTATATCCATCTAGCGCTTCTAAACGAGTTCATCCACTAGGATGGTAACCGATGTAACCGTCACCTTAGATTCTTAGATCATCCATGTTCAACACCGTCAATTCCCTTAGATTCTTAGATAAATTGGAACAAAAAAATGAATAATTCACTACATAACCTAAAATTATTGGCCATGGTTCCAGTGAGGTGCCATTCAGGTCGTTATAATCTAGCCAAATAAAATATACTAATACAAAAAAGAAAACTGCCCTGCCTGGGTGACATGGGTAGCCTCCTCTAATCGCACAGCCTTCTCAAATCGTTGGTAAGGCGAGCCTGGCTGTGTCAACATTGGGCACCCAGGGTCTTTTTTCGCACCAACTCTTTGCTGCAGTTCGTGTCTTTAAGCATCAAAAAACGGTTGATCGACCCTTCAAAAACCCTGGGTTTTTTACGTGTTTCTGCTGAATCCAGGAGGGAAAACCCTGACTTTCTGACACTCAAATGGTGGAGCTTGGTGGTCCCAAGTTCTCGGATGTTGAGGAAACCGATGGCTTGGGTGTTTCCGAGCAGGAATGTGGATACCCCAATTGCTTCTCTATAAATCAGTCACTGTCAAAATTCCAATATGCCTTTCGATGCACAAAGTGCGACGAAAGAAGCAAACCATCCTCCAAGCGCCCTTACATCAAGTGTCCGCCTTTGTGAAAGATTAAATACTATGCCCCAGTGGAGATGGCTCAGAGATTTGGAGTCGATCAGTACCTCCACCAGGCTACAATCTTTTCCAACACAAAAGGTTCACCATTCCATCCCGCACCTCTGACAGCCCATCTCATATAAGGCCTGCCAGCCACAGGTCAGCTAGGTATCTAGGTCAGTCTTGGTCCGTCTTGACCCTTTCCTCTAGACCCTTTCCGCACCTCACGATTTTGGCTGGTTTCAGGGCCACTAAGCCACTGCGAGTAGAGGGGTCCTTGCACGGCAGAAAAATCCTGCCTTCACAGCTCAAAATGTTTTGGAACATGCCCTAGGAAGCACCTTGGGAAACAAAGTTTTGAGTCCCCGGTTGCTAGTGGTAAGTATGCATGCTTACAGTACTTGTTGTGTAGTATCTGATCTACAAGTTCTATGGCTATAGTAACCACAGTGAGAACCGACTGGGGTTCTGCATCTTATGAAGGAGTGAAGTCTTCGTAGCTATGACAGATATCATCAGTTCTTCACTGCGTGAGGATTCGACTTAGTAACTGCTGTTCCACAGCCTGGTTATCATCTGAAAACACGGGCAAACTTTGAGGCGATCGCCACGACTCGGAGATCTGTCCATCATCTTGGATTTCTTCCCACCCCCATGGGACAAGTATATAACCATACCATCTGCATCATCAGCATCATCAGCATCATCATCATCATCATCATCATGGTTTGCCCGAGGGCAAACCATGAGTCTTGCCATACTTTATATAGCTACCAACCAGTTCTTCACTGTCTTGAGGATCATCCCACTTGGTAAATGCTCAAAAGGTCTGGTCATCCTTTAAGTGTGCTATATAAATTGTGTATAGCCGTATCCCGTAAGTCTTGCCACATGTCAATTAATAAAAATCCAATGTCATTGCAAACAGATAATTGTCATTCAATTTTGCGAATCCAATTAATCCAATGTCTATTAATCCAATTAATCCAATGCAGATTCGTAGACTGTCCCACTCTGCATCTCCGCATCTCCCATGTGGCCGCCATCTCGTCCTGTGCATCTCCACAGTGGAAGTCGGAGCGCCTAACAGTTCAACTCGGCTGGAGATTTTTGGATCTGCTGCGTCGTGATTTTGGTGATTTACTATGACCTACTCAAGATGACTATGAGATGACTATGACTATTTTGCATCAGAGATACTCCCAAAGTTTGACCCATAGATCCCATAGTTTGTTTTTGACAAAAATGAACTCCCCCTGTTTGTTGTTGCAAGGCGGGAGTTTGGCGATGATTCTGGACCATCCCAGCACTGGGCCCGGGGGGGGGACGCTTCGCAGCAGTCTTCGCCAATGGCCCAATAATAGATGGGTTCCACCTGAGCGAAGTAATCAGTTTCGAAGGCATCTTGTGGTTGATCTGCTGGAAGATCTGAACATCAACTTTGAAAATAGTCATGCAAGAATCAACCACAAAATGATGGGTCTTTCCATTTTTCCTAGATATACCAATGAAGGGTTGAAGAGCCGATTCACAACAAGGAAAATATTCAAAGTTTAAAGATTTATACCAATGAAGATGAATATGACAATGGAAAGATCTAGAAACACATTGGGTCAACGTCCAGATCTGACGTAACCAGGTCTCACGCAGCTGACATCGTGGTGTCCACCAGCGGTGCCACACAGTAGACCTTTCCCGTCCACCTGCAGTAATTCTAAGAGCTTGGGGGTTGGCTGGCTGGTATAGCCCCAAAAACAACAGTTTTCATGGGGAAGATTATCGTAGACTAGCGGATTTGGGAATACATAATTTTCAGTCTTGGGCAGTTCAGCACCATGATGGAACTAGAAACTCAATTCACCATTCACTCTGTCTCCCGGCCTTGATTTGTAGCCAACCGCTCGCTGGATATCCAGGCGGGTGTCCTACGCTGGTGCCAAGCAGGCCCTTTGCATTTGTTCCACAACCAGCAGCTCCCGTGGGCCTCTGCAACAACCAACGACCAACAAACAACCGCCAAAAACCGACAACCACAACAACAACAACAACAACAGCAACAACAGCAACAGCAACAGCAACAGCAACAGCACCAGCACCAGCAGCAGCAGCAGCAGCAGCAACAGCAACAGCAACAGCAACAGCAACACCAACACCAACAGCAACAGCAACAGCAACAGCAACAGCAACAGCCACAACGACAACGACAACAACAACAACAACAACAAGAACAAGAACAAGAACAACAACAACAACAATAACAACAACAACCACACCAACAGCCACAACGACAACGACAACGACAACAACAACAACAACAACAACAACAACAACAACAACAACAACAACCGCAACCGCAACCGCAACTGTAACAACCGCAACAACAGCAACAACAGCAGCAACAAGCTAATACCCGTCACAATTCACATAATCGATCAGACTAAGATGTGGAATCCCGCAAAAACATCTGACAGCAGAAACAACAAACATCACAACAGCCCACAGACGGTGTCCTCTGTAAAGAGGAACATGTAGGCATCTGGAAAGGCCTTCAAAGAACAGCAACTCTTCAGTGTCTTTTTGCTCACTATCTCTGGTGTTGAGCCTGTTAAAAAGGCATTGGTTCATTGGGCATTGGGATCATCATCATCATCATCATCATCCTCCTAGGTAGCGATGTAGAGGCCAGCTTACAAATCTTCACGTTCCAATTGGAACAACTTAACATGAATATGCCCGGCTATAGGTGATGTTCCTACTACAAAGTATGCAAATAAATTTGGATTGATGGGAAAGTCATGAAAAAATGAGGTTGCGTCAAAATCTTTAACCCAACCTCATGTTCCCCATGTTTGTTTGTCACATGCCGGAAATCCCCATTTTTGGTGATCCAAAGTGGCGGATGTCCATGTCAACCATTGCCATGCCGGTTCCGGCTGAGTCTCCAACCGCATCATCTTGGGCTGCGGCCACATTGGTGTAGCTCCGCATCTCCTGGGAAACGCATCTATGATCGGGTTCTTTATAGCTGCTATAGCTATAGCTGCTATAGCTATTTCAATCATGGATGGTTGGTTCGGTTGGTTCGGTTGGTTCGGTTGGTTCATCAACATCGGGATGATCCTCCCAGGTGCTACTTCCAAGCCATGACAGACCTTAGATGCCCATAAATAGAATTAATCAATTATTCATCTTTAGTTCAACTTAATACGACATATATATATATATATAGATTACACTAATATTTATTTGAGATATAAAGAAATAATATAATATATATATGCAAAGAATCCAGAATCATTTCATGGCGCCTTCATGCGCCCCGGATCAACCCAAGCAAACTCTCCAAACTCCCAGCCGAGGCACATTGTAGTTCCAGTAGTAGATCAAGTTTCGGTAGTAAAGGAAGAAGCCAATCACCAACGCTGCCAAAGAGGCTTGGAAGGTAAAGAACCCCACCCACCATAGCCAGGGGCGCGCTTTCCCAGTCAACCTGGCATAGTCTCCATCAGTGTCAGATGGGAACAAAATCATTGGATTCATTGTGAAAAGCTGAGGAGGTCTAACATCACCAGATGATTCACCAGGAAAAAAAAATCCAAGCCGGCATTGTTTGTTGATAAATGGAAAGGTCACTCCGTGGGCCGTTTTCCGTGGCCGTTTTCCGTGGCCGTTTTCACCCATGTACCTGTACCTATTTGCACACATAAAACAACATGGTTGCAACACATGTTCAACAGCAGTACCTCAACACTTTATGGTTTCGCGTTTTTTTTTTCCAAAAAACGAGTGGCAATTCATTTCGCCCCAGAAACTACGGGTAAAAAATGTCGGGCCGACCATCTGAAACTGAGAACAATGACAACTACGGAAGCTGCAAGACAACCTCAAAGCAGCCCAGCTGTGGAGGGTGGAAGACGAAAACTCAGTTTGCACTTTGCACTTGATAAATTTCCCGTGCTCAGAGTATTCATGTCAATCTCTTGGCTTTGGCGAGAGGCGACCGTCAGAAACCCACATTCAAAAAATCAGCGAAGTCCCAAATTTTCCCAGCTACTCGGCCGCCAAAATTGTGCTGAAACCCAATATATCCACAGCTTTTATTCAATCCCACAATTGTTGTTGCATGTATCCAATGTCTTCAATGTATTCCAATCTGAGCATATCTGAGCAAAGTTTAAATAATTTCATGCAAGTCCTAGGTTCATCCGAACGTTCGCTGTTGAGATGATCATCACTGATCTCCATCGCTGAGTTTCCTCACACACAAAGATGGCCTGAGAAATACCACTCGGTCCCCCGGGCCCGGTGAAGTCATAGGTTTCTTGAGTCAGGGACCCCATGATCCAAGGATGCCCAAAACCATGGCTTTTGAATTTGACACCCATTGCTTTTGAGGACCACGTCCAGAAACAGCCATAAATAATCATGTAGTAAATGTAGTATCATGGAATCGACCAAAATGTGGTGTGATGATCACCAGGACACAATGATCAGAGTAAAGCGTCTCCTTACTGACGAACAACTGAAGCAGCAACAAGCCTGCATAGATATATATATATACATCAGCGTGGGTGCAATGTGACTCGCTCTGATATGTATATATTATATTATATTATATATATAATACCTACACATCATGTTCACAATTTAAAAAGAAAAAAGTTGAGCAACGAAAATATCTGATTGGATGAAATGCTGCAGATAATATATTCCTACGAACCATCTAAGGTATCTATCTCTTGGACATCCGAATGCGAGCCGTGATTTTTTCATCAACTGTCCCCCAAGTCACAGATTTTGGCCAGTCTTGGTGGTGACCACGCCACTTTGGAAGGGATGGTCACGCTTTGTTCGTCCATGTTCATCCCAATTCGCTATCAAAAAGGGAGACTTCACCAAGAATTTGGATTTTTGTCGTGGTTAATCCTGTCCATTTATAACCAACTGGGAGATGTGTTTTCCATTTTGTATCCAATATTGTTAACCATTTATAACCAGTTACATCCCTGTTCTTAGTTACATCATGTTACATCCCCATCTGGATCAGGCATCACCCGAAGCTGGGGCTGGGGGTCGGATAGGTCGAAACCTTGGGAGACCCCACCAGGAACTTGGCGATGGAATCATGGAAGGTGAAGAACCAGGCAAGCATCTGCGGCAGAACCACCACTGGAACTCATGGAACGCGGGATATGCGGGATGATTGGTGACTGAAATGTGGAAATGTGGGTGAAATAGAAGTTGTTTCTGACAATAATCTGAAGCTGTAGGAATACATTCAAACTTGCAAGGAGATACACAGCGACAATGAGGTGATAGAACCAGGAAACTTTGGATGGGTCCACCGGTAATGAGCGTCTTACAAAAATGGTGGAAGATAGCCCGAACCATAGTTCCTCCTTCAAACCTAGGTTGCGAAACGATGGACTATGGACTATGGTGTGTCCCAACCAGAACAATCTGGAAAACAGAGGATCTATTGAACACTTTTGAAGTGGATCACTCCACGGAGAGCCATGACTGGTGGAGAAAAACATAGTTGCCATGCACTTCGCGTGGCAGGCCCTGCTTGGTAAGTGAAGATTACTGTCAGCGCCAAGGGAACCAACTGATGACAGTGACATTTGGCTTGGTATCACTTGCAAACCGGACTTCCCTCTATAGTCTTGGTCCATTCTGCCTCCAAACTGAACAATTCGACCAATGTCCGTTGCCCAGAACCGGTCGGGGAGGTATCTAATATAGACACTCTATGTCTTTTTGTGAACCATTGAGCTATCGTGAATCTTGACCCATCTCCAAACAGACAAGACACAGTCCCTGACAACTTGACTTCCAGGGCCCACGACTATAGATATGTAGGCAACACTGGGCAGGAGGAGGAGTCCGCACGTCCACAGCAAGGCACGAGCATTGTTCTGGCGCACGGGGAACAACCCCCTCACCAGGCTGGAAAATGTCTATCAACTGGGATGCAGGGATGCACAACAAAACAACGTGGAGCCAGGGAATCAAAGAAATTCTGCAGCAATTTCTGTCCAACATCCTGCAGTTTGATGCAAAATTGCTCGATGAAGTCCTCATACTAAGTTCCAATGACGCACACCAATCACAGGGTATGACGGGATGTGAAACATCTATTCATCGCAACCGAGCCTTCCCGTTCTCTCTGGTTTGGGTCTTCCAAAATCAAACGATTGCCGAGTTTCAGGATTGAAACACAACGAATACATCATGTGTTTTTCCTGGATGTTCAACCACAATCCTTCTGAAATTAGTTATAAAATCGCCATATCAAAAAACAGCACGAATACTACCCTCTGGTAATTTAACATAACTATGGAAAATCACCATTTTTCATGGGAAAATCCACTATTTCAAGGGCCATATTTTCAATAGCAAACTGTTAGTCATTACCAGAGGGTATCCCTCTGACAGCGCCTTGCCATCATCCTTCTGGGTGCTGTGGGCATCCACCCGGTGGTCCGCCCGTTTCAGGAGCACGTCCCGCTCTGCGTGGAGCTCCTGCGAACGCAGGATGAAAACTCGTCGTTTTTGGTTGTGGATGGGTACCATCTGGTAATTTATAAACCAACATAGCTATTGAAAATGGCCCATAGAATTAGTTGATTTACCTAGTAAAGATGGTGATTTTCCATAGCTATGTTAATTTACCAGAGGGTAGGTTCATTGTTTTTGGGATTGTTTATGATTATTTGGATGGTTAGTGAGATTTGTTTGTCAATCTCATTAAATTGTTCGATGCCCAAACCTTTTTTCGTTGATTATGATGACCCTTTATATACACATGTGTAGCTGGCTATATAATGGGATTAGTATATAGGGGGAGTTCATAGCCGGGATACCAATGATGATCCACCTCGGTCAAAAATAGAGGAACCAGTTTAATTGTTGTGGTTCATTAATGTTTGACTGGTTGTAAAGGGGGGGTTCACCGTTCCATTTTTCACTGCAAAAATAGCATCCATAGGTACTTGCAGGATATATAACCTAGCAAAATTAAACACGTGCTGAGGGGTGTCGGGGTGTAGTCGAAAATCACGGGTTGACACTGCGAATCTGCCCTACGAAAATGACTATGGGAGAGATCCACCAAATGAGCGGATTGAACGGGAAAATCAATCGGGGCCGTCCGAAATTTGAGCGAAACCCAAAACCCAAAACCCAAACCCCATGGTTTAAGAAATCACTTTCCCTCGTATTTGATGTTCTCAAATGGGGTGTCCCAGTTTCCGGACAACATTTCTTGAATTTTGAGCATCCATTTTCGGGGGCTCATTTTTTTCAATGATTGCTCACATCATTGCACATTTTGGCCAAAAAAAATGTTGATCTGGAATCAAACAAAAGCGATACCAGCCCCTTGGCATGCAACTGTCCCGGTTCGAAAAAAAACGCATCATGGATCAGTTTGACCAAAAATGGGCGTCAAATTTGCCTTAATATGAAATGATCAAATGGTTCTTGATTTGGGAAGATCAATCTCATAATATTATGGTTCAAAAAATCACAGATGCATGAGGTTCTCCTGCTTGGCACGGTGCGCACGTGCACTGTCCTTGGCCAAATGTGTTCACTTGTCTGGCAGTGATTTTTGCGTCCATGCCTTGAGGGCATGAAACAGTAAACACAACAAAAAAAAAAGGAATTGAATGAATTAACCAACACAAAATGGAGATAACACCCCAACAATATCCAAAATACCAACTAACAATTGTTTTTATCTAGTTTTCGAACACACATGAATTTTAATATTTTTGGGGACCGTCACATCCAGTTGCACCATGAAGCTGGGCCCCAGGCCATTTCATGAGACCTGCAGGTCACAAATCATTTGCCCGGCAGTGATGTCCATGTTCAAACGGACAATTGGACCACCTTCGTGAATTCAGAGGGGTTTTGGTCCCTTCCTCGTCAGTAGAATTCAAATTGTAGTACATTTCGTGTTCTTGTTTCACAAATTGGATCATAGACCTTTCACACATCAAAATCAGTTGGACTTGGTTTTCCACCCAGTCGCAAATCACGACTTGCCGCCTTGACCAGGATGTAGGTCATGGTTGAAGTTCGATAAAAGGATATCTTGAGCAAAAGGTGTTTGTTGCGTATATGTTGAACCGAACAGCCAACAGTCGCCAATGTTCTCTACGATCCACAAAATCACCGAACAATCAAATAAGCCCAAAGAGCATCCCCAACAGCCAGAAACAAAAACAGTTGCCAAACACGCAATGAGTGAAGTATGTTTATTGCCCCGCCCTTCTTACTCTAGAGGTCGGGCGTACAAGGCGCAATCACAGCACAAACACTTTATGAAAAACCGTTTTTCCAAAAGCGTTCGAAATACTGTGGCCAAAACTCCCGAAGCTCGTGCGAAGGTTTTTTCCCAAAGAACTGCTGTCCGCCTCACTCTTCACTTCATCTACCTAACATACATCATCCACATCTCTTATGTCCTTTACATCACCTACATCTTCTATACCGTTTTCTACACCATCTTCTCTGGATCTACATCTACATCTACACAATCATCATCATTATCACCATCACCATCATCATCATCATCACCTACATCTGTCTCACCTACATTATCTACACCACCTACACATTTTCCATCAACCTCATCTATATGACATGCTTTATCTACAATCTACAATACATACATTGCCTACATCATCATCTACATCACTACATCCTCTACATCACCCACATCACCTACATCTTCTGCACCATCTTCCCTACATCATCATGATTATCATCACCATCACCACCACCATCATCATCATCACCATCATCTATCTCACCTACACCATCTACATCACCTACACAATTTTTTTCCATCAACCTCATCTACATGATATACATCACCTACAACGCATACATAACCTATATCTTCATCTATATCACTGCATCCTATACATCACCTACATCTTCAAATCTATCTAACCTTACATCACTTACAACATCATCCTCATCATCTACAACCTGGGCAACATCACCTACATCAGCTACAGTTGATCAACTTCTAGGGAACTCCTACGAAACTTGAACAATGTCATTTACAAAGGAATTGACTTGCAGGTGATCCATTTCTACTTGAACTCCTACAAGACTCCTGCCGGCAAGGTCATTTTGCACAGAAATTGTTACACAGGAGTTGCTACACAGGGGCTCAGCTAACTTCCAGGTGATCAAATTGTATCTGAACTCCTGCAAAATCATCCAGTTCTTCTATTTCTCTCTGGCGGCAGGGACAGCCAGGCGGTGGCTTACGAATCGTTACCCTCTGCGGCGTGTCGGACACCCAAACGTGTTGCGAAATGCGGGTCTTGTTTGTCCTTGGGCAACCCTCTGCGGAGATGGCGCGTGTCGGACAGGCAAACATGTGGTGTGGTGAAATGCGAAACTTCTTTGCCCGCAGCAGCCGTCTGCGGAGATCGTGCGTTTCGAACGCCCAAACATGTGGTGGAACGTGAATTTCTTTTGGGCACGGGCAACCCTCTTCAGAGATCGCGCAGGTCGGACATCCAAACATGTGGCAAAATGCAAATTTGGCGAGGCCCGGCACAGCCCCTTCGCACGAAATGAGGGTCAACCGTCAAAAACTGGTGTAAAATTGTGATTTTGAAAGTTCAGATGCAAGCGTGGCATGAAAGTCAAACGGCAATAACTGTGGGAAAACTGCGATTTTTTAACGTCAGATGCCAACGTTCAAGAATTGGTGTAAAATTTCGACTTTATCCATTTTGAAACGTCAGGCACAACCGTTTCGCGCGAAATAAAACTTGTGTAAAATTGCGATTTTACAAGGGCGTGTTTAAAGTTTCTGCGCGTATCAGATTGTAAAAGCTGCTCTGTGCAAAGGCCTCTCTCTGTGCTCTGTGTAAACCCTGCTCTGTGAACAAGCTTCTATGCGTAAAAGCGTCTGTGTGTAAAAGCTCTGTGTGCAAAGGCGTGTGTGTAAAGCTTGTGTGTGTGTGTGTGTAAATGCTTCTGTGTATTAAAGATGCTCTGTTTAGACGCTTCTCTGTGTAAAAGCTTCTCTGTGTAAAGCTTCCGTGTGAAAACCTCTGTGCATAAAAGCTTCTGTGTGTAAAGGCCTCTATGCGTAAAAACGTTTGTGTAGAAAAGCTTCTTTGTGTAAAGGCGTCTCTGTGTAAAAGCCGCGCTGTGTAAAAGTTGCTCTGTGTAACGGCTTCTCTGTGTAAAAGCGTCTGTGTGTCAAAGCTGCTCTGTGTACCGGCATCTGTGTGTGTGTACCGTCTGAATAGACGTAAAACTTCTTATACTTTATATATCTATACGCGGGGGGTCACCGGGGTCCCTGGGAGGTCGGTGACCAACGAAGACACCTCCCGGGGACCCGTGTAAACGTACCCGCGGGACTGTGGTGACGCACCTGGGCGCAATTGAAAGGCGCAGCTGGTGGTCACCATAGTCCCAGATATATATATAATTTCATCCTATCTAAGTAAATAACTAATCTAATCTGCATGTCACAGGACTCAGTTCCTGCCGGATCATATAATGATCCATTCTTGTCTAGTGTGATTTCCATGGTGGCTCCGACATGGTGCCATGGAGCCATTTGAGGCAACCCTCTTCAGGGTGAGTGTCGACAGTCTTGAATTCTGAATTCACACATTTTAACTTGGTAATTCGTTTAAGTAAAGGGCAACAATCAGCCTTGCGGTTTATCAGCCTTTTCGAGAGTCCCGCGGCTCCTATTGTCCCTTGTGATCCTCGTGAATTGCATTCTTCAAGCGTGACGTTGTTCGAAACAATCAGAAACCTTCTCCTTTTCGCAGCTGCTTTTGACGATTCATGACATCAGCATTTGATACAGGAATCAGGCAGGCACACGACTTTCAGGTGTGGTGATTCTTTCTTTTGATGGTTGTCTGGTGAGGTTAAACATTTTGTGCATCTAATTCGATGGAACTTGAAAGCTGTTTTATGCCAATTGGGGCAAGACTTGACCACGGTCCCGGTGCAGGGAATAATCGCACGAACAGTAGGTTTAGGAGCTGAATCCTGTTTTCCGGTTTTGTTTTCACCAACTAGTTCCCCATTGGTCCCCTATCTCATGCTCTCCTCCCTCCCCAGGTAGGTTGGTTCCGTCGCGTGCTTAGGTGTTTGTAGGTTTTCGCTTTGGCAGGTTGGTTCAGGCGCTTCCGTCTTCCCCCCCCTCCGCTGGTCTTGGTCCGTGTCCGTCGACCCTCCGCCTTTTTCTTTTCCCTTGCCTTTTCAGGGTTCGCCCGCTCCGGGCTAGGTGTGTTGGTGTGTGTTTGCTCCTTCCCTCTTCTTTTGCGTTCCCCTCTTCGCGTCCTGGTTAAGTAACGTTCATCTCATTGTCACTCTCATCTCATTTTCATCCCCCGTTCATCCTCACTTTCATCTCATTTTTACGCGCACCACCCTGCCGGAGGCAGGGTGTGTGTGTGTACCGTCTGAATAGACGTAAAACTTCTTTTACTTATTACATATGTATATACGCGGGGGGTCACCGGGGTCCCTGGGAGGTCGGTGACCAACGAAGACACCTCCCGGGGACCCGTGTAAACGTACCCGCGGGACTGTGGTGACGCACCTGGGCGCAATTATAAGACGCAGCTGGTGGTCACCATAGTCCCATATATATATATAATTTCATCCTATCTAAGTAAATAACTAATCTAATCTGCATGTCACAGGACTCAGTTCCTGCCGGATCATATAATGATCCATTCTTGTCTAGTGTGTGTAAATGCTTCTGTGTATTAAAGATGCTCTGTTTAGACGCTTCTCTGTGTAAAAGCTTCTCTGTGTAAAGCTTCCGTGTGAAAACCTCTGTGCATAAAAGCTTCTGTGTGTAAAGGCCTCTATGCGTAAAAACGTTTGTGTAGAAAAGCTTCTTTGTGTAAAGGCGTCTCTGTGTAAAAGCCGCGCTGTGTAAAAGTTGCTCTGTGTAACGGCTTCTCTGTGTAAAAGCGTCTGTGTGTCAAAGCTGCTCTGTGTACCGGCATCTGTGTGTGTGTGTACCGTCTGAATAGACGTAAAACTTCTTATACTTTATATATCTATATGCGGGGGGTCACCGGGGTCCCTGGGAGGTCGGTGACCAACGAAGACACCTCCCGGGGACCCGTGTAAACGTACCCGCGGGACTGTGGTGACGCACCTGGGCGCAATTGTAAGACGCAGCTGGTGGTCACCATAGTCCCATATATATTTATATATATATATATATTTCATCCATATCTAAGTAACTTATCTAAGTAACTAATCTAATCTGCATGTTACAGGACTCAGTTCCTGCCGGATCATATAATGATCCATTCTTGTCTAGTGTGATTTCCATGGTGGCTCCGACATGGTGCCATGGAGCCATTTGAGGCAACCCTTTTTAGGGTGAGTGATGACTGTCCTGACTGCCGAATTAACACATTTTAATTTAGTACTTCATCTAAGTAAAGCGAAACAGTCAGCCTTGCGGTTTGTCAATCTTTTCAGATGTCCCGCTGTTCCCGCGGTCCAAGGGATCCCAGTGCTCCGTTCTTTCAAGTGAAGCCATACCGAACATTCAGAAACCTCCGTTTTCACTGCAGCTTCAGCGTTTGCGATGAGACATGACATGCAAGACAACAGGCAACAGGCATGTCCTTTTCCTGCAGGTGTGGTCTCTTTGGTATCTGGTGAGGTGAAACATATTGTGCATCTAATTCGAGGGAATTTGTAAGCTGTTATATGCCCTTGTGGCTGACTGGAACACGGGCCTGGATTGGCACAACGCACGACCTGTAGGTCTAGGAACTGAATCCTGTTTGTTGTTTTGTTTTTGTTTTCACCAACTAGTTCCCCATTGGTCCCCTATCTCATGCTTTCTTCCCTCCCCAGGTAGGTTGGCTCCGTCGCGTGCTGAGGTTTTTGTAGGTTTTCGCTGTGTCAGGTTGGTTCAGGCGCTTCCGTCTTCCCCCCCCTCCGTTGGTCTTGGTCCGTGTCCGTCGACCCTCCGCTTTTTCTTTTCCCTTGCCTTTTCAGGGTTCGCCCGTTCCGGGCTAGGTGTGTTGGTGTGTGTTTTCTCCTTCCCTCTTCTTT